ATAAGAATCTGTATATATTGAGATAAATAATTAGTTATGGTCAATACTAAGGCAGGTAATTGTGCATTACAGGAATGATGAACCTTTTAACACCGAGTTTCAAGAGCTACGTACAGAAAATAATATTCTCAGCCTAAAACTATGAAAGAGCTTTAGCAGAAACTACGGGCACAGACTACTGTGGCCATGCCATACTCATGTATCCCCTTGGCAGCTCCTTAGGTAATTGATTTTGCAAATCTTCAACACAGCTTTTACAAAGGACCATGACCACATACATCAAAAGCAACATATTACTTACAGCTGAATAAAAAAAGATCAAAAATAAAACCCAGGAAAACTGCTTTCAACTAGAACAAAATGGCTTGTGAGATATTTTCAAGAACAATCCACCACAGTGAAATGAATGCCTGTGACAACATACTATCCCTTTTTGCTCCCTGACCTAAAGCACCAATGTCATTTGTCAGACAGACAGGAATACACTTCAATAACAGATAAGGATTTTGAAAAAAAAAAGTTTTTAAGGATTCAATTTGAATAGCTCCTCTAGACACTAACTGGAAATAAGATACACAATAGAACTTCATGCTAAATCCATGACTGGGTTTTTTGTGCAAACGCTAAATATTCTTCCTGTTTTTTCTAACTCTTAAATGTTCATACAGAAAACAGCACAAAAGGAGGTAGATGCCTTTTCCACGTTATTTATGTCTCCAAACAACACTATACACATTTTGGAAACCATCATTCCCACCAGCTGGGGTCACTTTTAATCTAGTGTAAGTGGAAGAACTGAACTACAGTCTATCAGCAACCAAAATGCAGTAACATTTCACACTCTGCGAATACTTATGTTTACCTCGGTGCTAGAATAAAAATACCTACAATGTTTTATAGGATGAGCTAGAGCACCTTTAATCTGAAGAGTTCTGACTATTTTGAGGCACTTTTGAGTTCATGTTATTGCATTAATGGAAGATAGTGACTCTTCAACTAGATCCTGACTTTAGATGCAATGTGTCTAACCAGTGAATCGGCACATAAACCCTTATGCTCTTCAACTACAGAGGATACAAATTGCGCTGTTACACCCAAGATTTGGTGGTTGACCTTTCAGCTCTAGCAGGTTGGTTTTTAATCCCAAGTTATTGGGAAAAAGTTATCTTTTCATTCAACCATACAGCAATCCTACAGTGGCTGCTGAGTTCAGAATCGCTGGTAGAACACACTTTAAAACTTGATTCAAATTTCCTAAGATGTTTCAGAATAAAAAAGTTTCATGCTTAATCACACTCAAGTTCCCAAAGCCTGCATGTTACTTAAAATACAAGCTATAAACAGCAGACATTTTCCTTGCTGTTCATTTGTTTAGTGTAACACAGATCATCCTGCATTCGTATCTCTGACAGAAAAGGAAACACTCCATCTGCCCCACAGTTCACAGAGACCACTCATTGCTCACTTCTTCACCTGGAAAAGACTGTGAATAAACAAACCTGTTTGGCCAATTGATCTTTCTTCACCAAGCCAGTGGCTGCAGCGATGTTCCCTGCTCCTTCCACTGTCCTCTGGGCCACTGCTGTCACTCCTGTCACCACAGCTCCCCCAACATTAGACACTTGCTCTTTAGTTTTCTCAGCCACTGAGGAGAAGCAGAAGATGTAAAAATACATTATGGCCCTGTGAGCTCTAAGTTTTACAGAGAACTGTATTTATCACTGACAGTCCAACATCATTAAAAGCCATAAGGCCATTACATTTTCTGTACCACATGTAGACCTTATGAAATTAAACTATCCATCTGGTAACAATGGAGCAGCAGAGGTAAAAAGAAGCCTTAATTGTAGCTCAATTTCTTTCATGTGAAAGACATTTGACATTCTCATTCATGTCTAGCTGTACTTTGGGGAAGAAAAGTCACTATTTAAGGGCCTTTATTATGTCCAACTCATTGTGTAATATATCCCAGTTTGGAAATTCATTCCAATTAGTCCACCAACACTTGCTGCATGATAGAGGGCATGGAAGACAAGTTTGTTTTTTTTACACTAGACTCAGGAAACATTGATTTTTTTAAAAAAATATACTTCATTAAAAAGCAGAGCTACCATTGCTCAAGCAGAGAATTTCAAAAACAACCTTTAATCTGACTCTCTTGAGACTTCTGCCCCGGTGCTGAATGATACATAATGTACTAATCTGCAAAAAGACTGAATGCCAAGGATGCCAAAGCAAACTGGATTAATAGCTAACTTCCAAGCCCCAAGGAAACAACAACCCACTTAGCTTACATATACATCAGCAGTTGCCATTCTACCTTTCAGAATATCACTGGGTTCTTTCTGCTCATTCATCCCCAAGGGCTCTTTCTGATAGCAGCTTGAACCACAGTGAAACTGTTCTAAGAAAAGAGATGGAATGACTTCATGCCTTAAAAGTTACACAGCCAGATTTCCAGAAAAAAACACATTTACTCACTGAAACAAGGTCACAAACATCCAGCATATATTTTTGCAATTTTAACTAATCCTATACTTTTCTCCAGGCTAAATCCCATCTGATCCATAAAATGTATTCATAGATGTATTTGCACTCATTATGAGCATGGGATGGATTCTGCTTGGCAGTTAGGCCACCCTTTCTGAATCTTTTGGAGGAAAACACATAGGAAAATTACACTTTCTATGGATAAATTAGGTTTCTTTAATTCCTTTCATAAAGACCATCAACTCTTCATATCACAGGGAAAGCAGCATAGATTGCTATGACTGACATTATAAAACAATTAGGGAAAATCTAAAAAGGTAAACAATATGCCTAATATGCAACTTTTATTAAATACCCAAATAATAAATATCTGCTGACCGAAAATGGATTCAGATAATATAATGCTCATTCTAACTAATTTAAAGGGAAAAGTTAGGACCCAATTGAGTATTATCTATATTATGACCAGAGCCTTCATTAGCTAGAACAGGACAACAGATTATATGTTGCCTGAAACCAGAAACAGAGAAAGTCTGTTCCAAGTATCTTCCAAACTATATATGCTAATAAGATAAAAATTCACAAGAAATTTCATTTTATACATCTGCTACTCTATGGCCATTTTTTTCAGAAAAAAATAAGATAATCAAAAGTGGGTTTTGCTGAAAAGCAAATGTTGCCCTCAGGGAAGCTTTGAGTTAATGCTAGCAAGTGCAAAAAGGCATCTATTAAGATGCCCCATTTGATTATTACCAGCTACAGACTACAAAAAGCTCTGGATTCTACACATCAAATTTATATAGGAAGCTTTTATCCTAGTTTTTGCAAATGCATGTCTTAAGGTGTGTGTCCTAGTAAGACATTATATCCTGCAAAGAATGTTACGACCTGATTGTGCATGAACTGGGTAACATTATGAGATGGAAAATCATAATCAATTTCAATATTATTTCAAATAGCAAAAAATCTCAGAGATAGGTAAAATAAAGTAGCATCTTGCAAAAGTACGTTTAAATTCATATTCTCCAAGAAATAATTAAAGAAGTGGAGATGTGTTTTGTCTAAGTTTCAGTATTGTTTTTTTCGTTTTCCTCTCATTCATTTTCCGGGAGAGATCCTGGACTGCACCAAGAGCAGCTGGACCAGCAGGTTGAGGGAGGCGATTCTGCCCCTCTGCTCTGCTCTTGTGAGACCCCACCTGGAGTTCTGTGCCCATCTCTGGAGGCCCTAACACAGGAAGGACATGAATCTGGTGGAGTCAGTTCAGGAGAGGGTCACAAAGATGATCAGAGGAATTAAACACCTCTCCTGTGAAGACAGACTGAGAAAGTTGGGGTTGTTCAGCCTGGAGAATAGAACGCTCTGGGGGAACCTTATAAGAGCCTAGAAGTACCTAAAGGGAGCTTACAAGAAAGGTGGAGAGGGACTTCTTGCGGGGTCATGTAGCGATAAGATAAGGGGCACTGGCTTCGAACTGAAAGAGAGTAGGTTTAGATCAGACATTTAGAAGAAATTCTTTACTGTGAGGGTGGTGAGGCACTGGAACAGGTTGTCCAAAGAAGTTGTGGATGCTCCATCCCTGGAATTGCTCAAGGCCAGGTTGGCCGGGGGCCTGAGCAACCTGGTCAGGTGGAAGGTGTCCCTGCCCCTCACAAGGGGTTGGAACTAGATGATCTTTAAGGTCCCTTCCAAACCAAATGGTTGTATGATTCATTCTATGACACCACAAATCAGGGTCCTTTTGTTCTGTTAATTTTTCTGTATGGAAGTAACATAGACTGTTGCCTGGAGAAGAGAACGCTCTGGGGGAACCTTATAAGAGCCTAGAAGTACCTAAAGGGAGCTTACAAGAAAGGTGGAGAGGGACTTCTTGCGGGGTCATGTAGCGATAAGATAAGGGGCACTGGCTTCGAACTGAAAGAGAGTAGGTTTAGATCAGACATTTAGAAGAAATTCTTTACTGTGAGGGTGGTGAGGCACTGGAACAGGTTGTCCAAAGAAGTTGTGGATGCTCCATCCCTGGAATTGCTCAAGGCCAGGTTGGCCGGGGGCCTGAGCAACCTGGTCAGGTGGAAGGTGTCCCTGCCCCTCACAAGGGGTTGGAACTAGATGATCTTTAAGGTCCCTTCCAAACCAAATGGTTGTATGATTCATTCTATGACACCACAAATCAGGGTCCTTTTGTTCTGTTAATTTTTCTGTATGGAAGTAACATAGACTGTTTTGAAAACTCTCTTTGCCAAAATATGTTCAGCGGCAGAAAATGTAAAGGACAAATTCAGCAGGGTTGATGCTGACAAAGGATCTTCATGCTCAGTTGCCCTTAAGCAGACTCATCCCTTCTAATAAAATGATAATGAACAGTTGCACTGTGTTCATTGTCAATAGTCATAATTAGTTTGATTATCTCAAGCTCATAAAACCTCAAAAGCAAAATATCAAGAAACAGAGTGGAATTGAGTGCACTGGGGATGCTGCAATATAAAATACCTGATTTCCGATGCCATTATTAAACCTACGTTTCTTGTATTATGCTGTCATGACAAGCACAACCAAGAGCCAACTATCCAGTGGCTGCTGTTGTCACTATTAGAGTGTTTTGGGAAAACTCTGACTGAAGTGTGTTTTTTCCTCCGAGAAACACATTATGCTAGGAAAGGCTTAGTACATGCAACCTAAAATGAAAACAGAAGAGTCAGGCTGCTAACACTGTTACTGGCACAACAATAAGATACTGATAAAACTAGTAACAAAACCGGTATATTTAAGACTGCTTCTATTTCAGATTGTTGTGGTTTAACTCCAGCTGGCAACTAAGCACCACACAGCTGCTCACTGACTTCCTCCCCACCCCAACCGGACCGGGGGAAGAGAACTGGAAGAGTAAAAGTAAGAAAACTCATGGCTTGAGATAATTACAGTTTAATTGAAATAAAATAATAATAGTAATAGAAAATTTTAATTAAAAGGAAAATAACAAAGAGAAAAAGAGAGATAAAACCCAAGCAACACAAGTGATGAAAATTAAAACAATTGCTTACCACCAACCAACTGATAACCCAGCCAGTCCCCAGGCAGCTGCCCCAGGCCAATCTCCCCCTAGTTTTATTGCTGAGCGTAAAGCCATATGGTCTGGAATATCCCTCTGGTCAACTGGGGTCAGCTGTCCTTGCTGTGTCTCCCAACTCCTTGTGCACCCCCAGCCTCCTCACTGGTGGGGTGAGGTGATGAGCAGAAAATGCCTTGACACTGTGTAAGCACTGCTCAGCAATAACTAAAACATCCTTGTGTTATCAACACAGTTTTCAGCACAAATCCAAAACTGCTCCATACTAGCTACTATGTAGAAAAAAAACAACCCTCCCCCAGACAAAAACAGCACACAGACATAGCATTAAGTAAGCTAACAGAGGAGTCACCCTGAAAGATCTTTCATATGCTGCTTCAGAAAGCAGAGCCATGAACATAAATCCAGCAAATTATCTACATAGCACAGATTTGCAAAAACATTCATCGTGGTAAGGAGAGTCTTCTTTCCTGTCCCTAAGGAATACCTAAACATCATCAAAGTTCCTATTACCAAAGCTCCAGCCTGTGACCCTCCAGCTCTCAAAACCCAGCAACAGGAGAAGAAAAACCAAAAAAAGTTTCCAGTCTCATGTATTTTATTTCTTACACTAAGCAGTAACAGGGGAAAAGCATTAAGTGTGCACAAATGAATTAGTTTGGAATGCAGGGGGTTGATTCCAATTAATTAAATTAATCTGAATACCAGGTTGTTTAATAATCTTAAGTCATTAAGTCTTTGTAAAGTTGATGTCTGCTTTGCATCACAGTGTTGAGAAACAGGGTAAATCAACTTTTTCAGAGCTCTGCTGTGCCACGGCCTGATTACTTCTGTCTGTCTATGCAGAGACTGTCACTCCATTAAACGACTCTGGGATGGTGTACAATGACCATGTCAAGGCTAACTTTGAGTCTGAAGTTCTAACATTGACTATAGCACTGTGTAAAAAGTATTAGAATTGAAGCTTTCTTTTCCTTACTTACTACAGACACCTGGATAACATACGATATCAATGTGAAACCATTGGAGCAATTCAAAAACGTAACTACTTGTTTTCAACTTTGAACAATAAAAGTAGACAAAACCCACAGGATTTCTCTGATTTAATTAAATTACTCTTACTGAACTAAATATGCCTTTGAATATTTATATGGATATACTGTCTAGTAAGTTTGGTTTAGGTACTTGAAGAATTCATTTACAAAGATGTCATAAATATAGTGGTAGTTCTTTATTTATGCAATTTTCTGCAAGACACCTCACAAACACAGCAGGAACATCAATGACTAAGAATGTTAAGAAGGACAAGAATGATCAGATAAAAGAATTAAGCAAAACATTTGACTATGGTTCATAACTGTCGATATTTTATCTTTACTCTGTTTCAGGAAACAGACACATGGTTGAAGCCCCAAGGGCTTTTTGGCCCTGATCTGCTCACAACTAGTGTTTTACTTGAAATATTTACAGTTCATCTCCTGATATTCAATCTTTGATACTGTACATTTTTGGACACTTATCCCTGGGAGATAAGCAAGATGGATGAATTATGCATTCATCATAATGATAAGCAAGATGGATGAATTATGCATTTACAGTCAAAGGTCAGAAGACATGTTAATTAGGAAGGCAAGTCCAAACACAAGCTAGTACTCCATAAAACCAATAAGCAAAACTGCTTCATCTTCTGAAGCTCTGAGAAAGGGTGACCTGACAAATAACAGGCTCACCACATCCCTATGAATCACAGTCTGGTATTCTCATTTCACAGTGTCTTGATGCCACTAAACCTGGTACAACCAGGTCACATTTAGAGAAAAAAAACCCTGAGTCTAGTATTTCTGAGTTTGGAAAGTAACTGACTGAAAATTGTATTTAGTTCAGCACTTTGAGGTGTGACAGCTTACAGACATTTCACCAGCAGAGGGTTTTAAACCATAAACTATTCAAAAACAGCAAAACTAGCAAGATCTTGGAACTCAGCCAGTAAGAAAGGACTGACTGGACAACTGTGAACACACCCATTTTCATCTGTGATCCTAGTTTGCACTTGACTGTCGGCAACCTCTTCAACCATTTTAATTCACACAACAAAATGTTTATTTCACCTCAGGTTTCACATGATATTAAATCTCTGGCGCATCACAAGACCACCAGAACAGGTGAACTCCCAGTCCTATGAAAAGAGACAAGCAGGTCTTTACAAGTGCCTTTAAAGGCATTTTGTGACATCAACTTTTGCAGCATTGACTTAAATGGATTTGATTTCGAAGGCAACTTTGCTAGCATTTCTCAGTGTCTTCATTTTACATCCCATAGCATCACTACAGTGAACCCAAATCTACCTTCTTTGCTTGTCAGAACAAGTCTTTATAGACTTGCAATTATTTTTTATTCTTCAAAAATCTGCCTAATAATTCCTCTGTTCTTACACTACTGAGTCCATACTGTTTCATTTTGGAAATGATGCCGTCTGGATTTTGCCTGAAGTCTCCTCACTGCCCCATTTCAACCTCCACACCCTCTATTCATTTTCCATTTTCATTCAATAGCCAAACTCATTTCAAACAGTTTAACAGGCCAGAAGGAAGCAAACAGTAGCACAGAAACCATTATTCACAAGCTTTGGGTGTTTCACTTTGTGCCACTCATTTCCTAAACCGTGTGAAAAGCAACCACTCTTTTGCCTAAAATTGACAGTAACTTTTCCAAATTTTCTGTTCATAGGCACAGCACACAGCAGGTATGTTCTCCTTATGTTTGGCTTTACAGTCAGTTTTGTACCTTCCAGAATAAAATCTAACATCTTTTCAAACCTGTCAAAAACTATATTCATCTAAATCTCCTGTTTCACAACACATATTGCGATCAGATAGACAGACACGAACAGCATTTGAGATCAGCTGTTTCTTTCAGAAGGGAAAGAAGTCCCCCACTGAGCCAGCCTACTAGAGTCCCAGTGCTTCAGCAAGTTTCATACATGTGCAAAATGCCCTTGACTTTGTTCTACCACAGCCCAGCTTGGTGAACACCACCTCTACTAACCTGCTTGCTAGTGCTGTCAGTTGCTGTTCCCGCATTTGCGATGATATTTGATGTATGTACCTCAAATCTCATCCTACTGCTATCCTCCACCAGTTACAGTAACGATCCCTCTGAATATTTCTCTTAATTGAGGTCTAACAAACTGAGATCTCAAACCTCCTAACAGCAGCATGCACGTCCAGCCTGAGGCTAAACTCTGAAAGACTATCCTAGACGTTCTGTTCCACTTTGTTACTAAAAATAATCTTGACTGACTTTTCAACCATTTATGTGTTGTGATACTAAGTATGACATTTGTTTACATACTGTCATTTATCCTTTGCATTGGCTTATGTGAGCACAGGTGAATGATACACAGGTTGTACATTAAGGAAAAAAGGAATCCTTTTCTACTACTTTGTTTTCTAATTTAAATTTCTTGACCGTGCATTTTCTTCACATCTCCAGAAGTCCCACAATATAGAGCAGAAAATTACACGTTCTATTCAATACACTATGGTCAGCTAAGGCTTTCTTGCACTCTGTTGAGATCAAAGACTGCATTCCACAGCCCTCCTCCAGTGGCAACTTCTCAAGATCCCACTTCTCTGCTGCCTCAGATCGGAAGGAGACAAACCTGGGTACCCAAGCCAGGTTTTCAAATTCTATAGGTCAAAGCTCTCAATAGTTAAAAAAAATTTTAAAAATTAAAAAAACTTCATTTTTTTTATGCAGGTCAAAGCTCTCAATAGTTAAAAAAATTTTAAGAACTTCATTTTTTTAATGTCAACTAGTTCATAACTTTCCAGCACCTTCCACAGCTTTGACAATAAACAAACAACAGAAAGATTTATCTACTTCTGAAAAAGCAAGTTATTTCCTTCTGCTTAGGAAACTGGTGACCCTAGTCTCCTGGCTTTTATTAGTGCATCTTGACTTAAGATTCAGAACATCCCTCAAAACATGCTTTTCACATGGAAACAACTATTAAATTTACATACTTGACTGTAAAACAATGTATGCATTTCGACAAAATGACTTAAGATTCAGAACATCCCTCAAAATATGCTTTTCACACGGAAACAACTATTAAATTTACATACTTCACTGTAAAACAATGTATGCATTTTGACAAAACGAATGCTTCTTTCCGCGCTTCAATTTTTCTCTTTTTTTTTAGCTTTCATAAATTGTAGTGCCCTCAAAAAACCAGAATTTTTAACAGCTAAATGGTTGGTTAATCAAATGTAGGGAAGAAGTTGAAAACGAGACATAATTGTCTTACCTGTTGTGACACCATGAACAACTCCTTCCTTGGTCCTGGAACCTAAACAAAGAATGATATTAGGTTGAAAATGCATATTCTTAAGTACTGGTAAAGGCTAGACAGATAATAAAGAGGGATTAATATATATATATTACATACAGTTGAATACAGTATTTTCTAAGGTTATTTAAAGACATTAAAGAGAAATTCAATCTAAGGGAAAGGCAAAACCATCAATAAAGAACAACTGCATGGATGTATATTGACTGTGGAAAGGTGAGTAATACTGGAAACACTTTGTATTTTACTGCTTGTACATATTGACTTCCTTGCTATTTTCTTAATAGCTGTGTTTATTAAGTCTCTCACTTTACAAACTCACACGGATGACTCTGCAAAGAAACCACGATAAAGTTTATGTCCTAAGGAAGCTCATGCATGCATTTGGAGACGATCACAGCCACAGTTTCCAGAAGATCCTTACAATTTCATCTTACAACACTCTGCTGGATCACAGTTTGCAGGGACTGACATCCATTACTGAACTACAGAAAGACCTAGAGGTTAAAATCAGGGAGGCTGGTAGCGCTAACTAGATTTAGATATAAATTAACCCAAAAAAGCTTTAAACAGTAGATAGAATTTAAACATGAAAATGACACCCAGGGTCAAACCCAAGATTTGCTGCATCCAGTGAGCTCATTGTCACATGCACGTGTGACAACTCACATATGATTTGCAGGCAGCAACCTAGAGCTCATGCTAGACTGAATCGTAACACAAGACCTGTGTAAGCAATGTAACTCTGCCATGCTGAAGACCAAACTGATTTCTGGATCACCCATGTAAAAAAAACAGGACTTTGCTCCCTTTCATGCAATATGGTAAAATCTCTCCTGTCTTCAATGAAAAGAGAAATAAATTAGCACATACTGCTGTTTAAAACATTAACTCCATGTCTTTTTCCCTACTAGATCTCTACTCATCCTTGTCAGATTTTATAGCTTGGCTGCATTTCAGGGATCAGTATCCATCTGTGAACTATGACGCTTAACAATGTGCAAATAAGTATTGCAAAGACAGAGTTTATGACTCCTAGTTAATCATCTTACCTAGCCCGCCAGTGATAGAATCATATTTTTTTTTATTACAAACACAAAAATTGCCTTATTTGTAATGCAATTTTTTGTCTCTATGTCATTCTGTATTTGAGACATTATCATTTATACTTCTGACTTTACACTTTAAACATCAATTTAATTTTAGCTTAAAACTGTGCAAAATCATATACAAACTGATATAAGCAGAAATACAGTAGAGGAGAATGCACAAGCAGAAAAATATTAGAACAAAGCAACTTGTCATCCACAATTCTTTACAATAATATAACTAAACACTGAAATACAATATAAGTTCATTCATCAATATGTCCTACTTGCTACTAGTGCCAATTTATGGAACTTTAGCCATGTATTTACAGCACTATTAGATTGATTACAGCATTGAAAAGACTCTGTTACCCAGGAGCAAGAGCAGAATAATAGCCCATGATAAATAAAAGGGAAAAATATATTACATCAAGTAAAATGACAAGTTTCTTTACCTAGCTAATGATGACGTTAAACAGCTGAGTTGTCTTTTTTCCCCTCTTTATTCTAATTTTCTCTTTAAAAAAAGGTTGCTTTCTCTCACTGAAAATATTTACCATTGAAGAATCATATTAAATGCAAAGTGTCAATGTCTAAAGATTGGGTTTAGGACTTTGGTTCTCAATCTTAAGCATATGCTTCTAAATGCATTGTTAGACCTGGCCAATCTCTCGCTGAACAGACTGACTGCAGAAACTGTTACTTCCATGCAAGTGTGCATGGAAGTACTAAAGACATGGAAACCTGGAAATAGCAAGTACTCAGTTCCCTGGGGCTGGTAAGAGATGGATGGTATGACAGAAATCCATGAGGAGCTCTGCAATGCATGCATCACCAAAGGGACCTATGCGAGTTGATTCTTACTTCACCTACCCTGAGACAACACTGCTATTACTGTTAGTGGAAAACAGGCTTTTCTTTAATGAAAGCTCAGCTCATAGACCCATACAGAACAGGGATATGTATAGCCAAATCCATTAACTGGCCAACAAACAGCTAGTTGGCGTTCCAGATCTTACAGCACATGTTAGGGCTCAATACTACTTGCCCCACCATTGCACACTTGCATGAAAGTTGCTGTTTCTGCAGTCACAGCTACAACAGCATCTAGAAGTACATTAAGATGTGCCAGAACAGGCCTATAAAAACAGGTGAATTCAGTAGGATGACGTCTGGCTGGCCATGAAGGAAAGCTGATTGTCCACATTGTTTCTGAGAGAAACTAGCTGTGTTTCATTCTGGTATTCCCAAAATGTCAATAGTCTTGCTCACTGTAATAAGGCTAACAGAGGAATCAGAGCAGGGGTAATACAAAGACCAAGGAACCTGACACTGACCTATGCTACTTAGAAGCAATAGCAGCACATGGTAATGCTACTTTTCCTAGCTATAATACATATTTGTGTGAGGAGAGGGAGAAGCCAAACAAGAATTTTTGCCTTTTTGTAATTATAAAAAAATATCATAGACTCTCTTCATTGCTTATTATCATCACTGCTATTACACCAAAAAGAAAGGGTGTATCAGCAGTTTGGAAATGCAGTCATTTCTGGACTATTTCAGAGACAACAGACTATTCATATCGCTTAGTTCAAGCTGGTTAAAGACAGGGAGACATAAATCCAAAGCAGGGGAAAGAGAAATCAATGTCTAAGGAAAACACATGCTCCCAAGTCCTGAAGCCCATTATTCCACCAGACAGACCTTGAGTCCCTCGACTACTCTGCTGGCTTTTCTACAACCAAAGGAAAATAAGAAACCTTATGAAAAAAAAGTGCAGCAGAGGAATTCAAATGGTCTTGCCAAATAGGTCATGACTGCATTGTTCTACTCTAAGGCCATGTGCTAGCACAGGGAGTAGTAAACAATTCGTGTTTGTCACCCTCCTTCTGATAAACTATTCCTTGGTTCTCCTAGCATTTGGCACATGAAAAATGATCAGACTGGAAACTTCCATTCCTGAACACGAAACACGCACTCAAAAGTCAATTGAACAAAAACTTCAGCTCCCTGGTAGCACAAACAAAGCTCAGAGGAGATATTGAACACTACCTCAGCAAGAGCATACAAGCACATCCTTCTTACTCTCAGTTCCTGGTTTCAGAGCTAGTGGGGATAAGTATTACTGCTTATTTCCTCACTGCTTCACACCAACAGCTCTTGAAGGATACAGAGAGATCAGGTTGTAAATTCACAGCACACATGATGCAGCACAGGACTGCTGAGCCTCAGTCATCCTTTCTAAACAATGATCAGGCCATTGTTTGACATCAAGAAAGGTCCTGATGCTGTGCTTGTATGAATGAAGAAAGAGCCACAAATTTCAGGTGGCCAATGCTGAGGCCCATTAGCAGAGGAATTCAAGGGATAGAAAACAACAACTGAAAGCATAGAAACACATTCTAGACTGTATTCAAGAGTCTTTAGGGTACCTCAAAGCAGGACAAAGACAGTACACTGAGAGAAGAAAGAAGAGACTTCAGCGTGGACAGGGAAAAAAAATTCCCAGTCAGTCCTCCAGTACACTACCCTCCCACAGAGCTCTAACTTTCTCTCTTTGCCAAAGGGAATTTTTCTCCTGCGAAAAGACACCCAACAAAAGCAAAAAAAACCCCAACCAAACAAAAAATCCCCAAACAAAAAATATCCAACCAAACAAAAAATCCCCAAACAAATTAAAAAATACAGAAAACAAAAGAAGTAAGTTTTAATGACAGCATTTCATCCCAGCAGCAGCTGTTCTTAACAGAACTCTTAGAATCTTTCATGTAACAGTTAACAGCAGCCTGGCTAGAAAGGTCCATATGATGAGACCATATCATCTAGGGGATCTGGACCAAAGAGTTTGCATCTTATTAATTCTCAAGCAGCAATGGAAGACTGTTACGCAGCTGACTGCTGAAACTGAAAATGATTAACAGATCCCTCTCAGCCCAGTGTTGTTAGGTTCTTTTTTGCAAGATGTCAAGCAAGATGTCACACTATAATCTGGCTGTCAAACACCAATCTGAAAACCCAACTATAGAGAAAGGCAGGGAGAAATCTTCAGGAGCTCTAATGCATTGTGCTGCTCCTCTTCTCTGCTCATAAAGGGGTTGCACTACCTTTTGCACTGCAACCATTATCAGTCTACAGAATCAAAGATTATCACATCACCCTTTGCTAACACTGCACAGGAGAAGAGCCACCTCTGCAGTGTGCTTGAGTAGCAGACAGAGAAATACCCAGCTTCTCATTTCCCCCTTACACTACTGGATCCCATTGAAACATCCTGTGGATATGGGCAAGCACACAACTGGACAGGAGCTGCCAGAGCTCCTGGAGACAGCTTCCAAGCAAAGGCTTTTTTTACTTGCATGACGAATTGTACATATAGCTTTTCCTCCTGAAAAGGTGGCATCTGGGGTGAGAAGGATCCTACAATCACATGCACAGATCTCTATCATGGCTCAGGGCTCTGCTGTACTTCATACTTTATTCTTGAAATAAATGGCAAGCCTGACCTTCAAAGTTCAACCTCAACAAAAGTGGCTCTGAAGAGAACAGGAAACCTGTTGCCTTTGGGAGCAGAACTAGATTCAAGTATTATTATGGTCTGGAGTACAGGTCAGACACGAAGACTAATTCAGCACACAAGGTAGGTTTCTAATACAGAGAAATCAATGACCCCAAAAGCATGAAAACAAAATTAATCAATGACCCTAGAAGCAAGAAAACAAAACGAACCAATGACCCACCCCTGAAAAATAAATATCAGGCACAATACAGTGAAAAAACACTTATTTTCATATCTTGAAAATGAGCAGACACTCATTTTAAAATCAACTCATCTTACGATCAGTGTTCAAAATAACTGCCGGCCCTGCTGGCAAGAGCACTGAGCTTTGCTATGGCTGAAAAGGAGCGAAATATATTCCAAATGAGTAGTCCACACGATCTGGAGCAGAAGTAATTCCTTACAGACTGACACTAGCATGCAAGGGCAGAGGGAATCCTGAAAAGACATTGGAATTAAGAGACCTCAGTCCCTGTCACTGCAAAGAAATGCCTCTAGTTTTCAGCTCTGTTTAACTTCTCTCTGCTATTTGTGAACATCTCCCTTGGTACACACAGCATTCGTTACAGAACTGACCTGCTACGAAATCAGTAAAATAGATGGACCTACTACAAAGGGTATCTTTTCCTCTCCATTCTTTTATAGACTAACCCTATTTGATGAATAAGAGAAAACAGATCCATAAATGGCTATTTAATAAATAGCCACTTTCTCATATAGTCTTTATAAGAGAAAACAGATCCATAAATGGCTTTTTTAATAAACAGCCACTTTCTCATATAGTCTTCGCAGATTATTTTTCTGTGAATTTTTCATGGCAGCATTTGCAAGACAGTCCTCTAAAGCCCAGTATTTGCTAAGTGAAGATGACTATCATACATCAAAGTACCAGTCTGGGATTTGAAAAGAGTTTTATCCCTGGCAGTATGAATTAACCTCTCAAGTTTCTTCTCTTAAAATCCCACTTAAACCCCACATGTCTTACAAATGCTGTGAAGCTACCTACCACTTCAGCTTTTTCATTTTTTTAAATTTATTTTTACTGTACCAACTACCTCTTCAGCCTTAACCTAGAAAACTTCTTGAATAGAGTGCCAGCTAGTTACCTATACTGTAAGGCACCTTCTACAACATAACCTCGTTCAGCATGGTGTTACAGATGTGGCTCCACAGAGCATGACCAGCTCATGACATAAGAACCAACATCTGGCTTCAAAGAACCAAAGCTCAAGATGGCACATCTCTTCTTTTGTTTGTTTGTAGTGCTCTTCTACAAGTGAGTAAATTTTTTTTTTCAGAAGAATAGGTCTGATGAGGATCTAGCTGTGATGTCTGGGTGCACTAACCAGCAGTGTGATCTCTGCTGCCCACCTACCCACATAGAGGACTCCCTCTTTCGTCTTTCCCGCTGCCTCTGCCACACCCTGTTTGGTTTTTTCTGCTGCTGCTACGACTCCCTCCTTTGCCTTGGAAAGCCCTTTCATGAACACATCCATGGCTGAAGACTTTCTTCACACAGCTCTAGAAAAAAAAAATGACAGTACACTTTAATAAGAATTTTTTCAGCTTTTTATCCTAGAAATGGGAAAACAATATTCAAACTGAATGGGACCACAATTACTTAAAAACCGTTTTATTTATACCCCCATATTATGTAGGTATAGGAAAGAGATACCCTGTTTCCATAGAATCCTACAGAGAGGGTGCTCATAAAACAGTTCCGGTTTGAAGATGGATTCTTTGATACAGGTCCCTTCATTGCCTATCAAAGCATCATTTCTTCCAAAGGGCAGTTCTGTTCATGTGCTGATTGCAAGATTTAGCCCTGTGATTTGATGATATTCCATCTCTTATCCATGCAAGAAAAGCCAATTATAAGAAACATCAGCAACTTAAAATAAACCAAAAACAGACCAACCTGCAAACCAAACCACATAAACCAAAAACCCTCCTAAATGACAAATATTCACTTGTAAGAAACTGCCATTACAACCCAGAAGGATCAGAGCACGTAGAAAATGCTGCTTTTCCAGCAGTCCAGCACTTTGCACACAGTCCATGTCACTCATCTAGAAACTGAGTTTTCCCAAATGAGCTCCTTACATGCATCAGGACTGAGAAAAGATTTTACTAAAAAGCAAAAGCAAGAACCCAAGACTTTAAATGCACTGCACTAAAGCTACCAAGTGAGTTCTGTGACAACCCAGCACAACCCTGAAACCACTAAAATAGTAATTAAAACCAAGAATGTGTCCCTTCAACAAATCCATTATCCAAAGTCCTTTCTCTCCTCCACCCACACAGACAGAAATGCGGCCTGTCATCTTCTCTTCTTCGCCAAAGGCTGAGTAGGAGGAACGGATGTCTAGGAAGACATCTGGGCTGTCGCAGCTTTCTCCTAACTCGTGACAAGCGTGTGAAGAAAGGCAGTTTGTGCTCCAGCCGAACCGCCCACAGTCCCTGTCACCCCGGGGGTGGCAAAGGGCGCTCACAAACACACACGGGAGGCGACAGGCCCCGGCCCGCGGGCCAGCGAGCGCCCGAGCCCACCGCCGAGGGACACGGGCACCGAGAAACACGGGCACCGAGCAACACACGGGCCCCGAGCAACACACGGGCACCGAGCAACACACGGGCACCGAGAAACACGGGCACCGAGCAACACACGGGCCCCGAGCAACACACGGGCACCGAGCAACACACGGGCACCGAGAAACACGGGCACCGAGCAACACACGGGCCCCGAGCAACACACGGGCACCGAGCAACACACGGGCACCGAGAAACACGGGCACCGAGCAACACACGGGCCCCGAGCAACACACGGGCACCGAGCAACACACGGGCACCGAGAAACACGGGCACCGAGCAACACACGGGCACCGAGCAACACACGGGCACCGAGCAACACACAGCACCGAGCAACACGGGCACCGAGCAACACAGGCACCGAGAGCGGCG